TATTTTTAGTTTTTCTCTTCTTTTTTTTCCCACTTTTTTTCTCATAGGATAACACGTGTTTTTGTTCTACAAGTCACTTTTGGCTTTTTTTCAAATCCGATCGACTTCAAACCTGGCACACAGTTCGACCACCATCTGAAAATGTGCGCCGAATCATGACGTCATCATGACGTCATCACGTGTCACGTGACGTCATCCTAAAAGAGCATACTTTAAGGCCCTATATCTACAGAACCGGAAGTCAGATTTGGTTCAAACTTGGTATGCAAGTATTCCGGGACGTGTTATAGACAAAAATTGCAGTGACGTCACGATGACGTCATCATGTGATTTTATATAAATTATTCAATTTTTGGACCTTTTACTCATATCTCATAAACGGAATGTGGTAAATTCGAAATTCTTTTTGTAACAGGTTTGTTAGGTCATAGATAGATGCACAAAATTTCGTAAAATGTGTTACGTCATCATGACGTCATCAAAAACGTGATTTTTTGATTCAAATATAAGGGTATGTCCGATCGTTATGAAACTTGGTGGGTAGGTAGGTATAGATAACAGCATGCAAAATCTGAAGTGACGTCATCATGACGTCATCATCTGATTTTTTATGAACTTTTCAAATTTAAATATTTTCTTCAAATTTTGCAAAAATTATATAAAATACGGTCCCATCGCCTTCAAACCTGGCACACACTTAAACCACCATCTGAAGATTCAGGTCGAATCATGACGTCATCATGACGTCATCACGTGTCACATGACGTCATCCTAAAAGTGCATACTTTAAGGCCCTATATCTACAGAACCGGAGGTCCAATTGGGTTCAAACTTGGTATGCAAGTATTCCGGGACGTGTTATAGACAAAAATTGCAGTGACGTCACAATGACATCATCATGTGATTTTATATAAATTATGCAATTTTTGGACCTTTTACTCAAATCTCATCAATGGAACATGGTAAATTCAAAATTCTTCTTGTAACTTGCACAAAATTTCATAAAATGTGTGACGTCATCATGACGTCATCATGACGTCATCAAAACGTGATTTTTTGATAAGGGTATGTCCGATTGTTATTAAACTTGGTGGGTAGGTAGGTAGGTATAGATAAAAGCATTCAAAATCTGAAGTGATGTCATCATGACATCATCGTCTGATTTTTTATGAATTTTTCAAATTTAAATATTTTCTTCAAATTTTGCAAAAATTATATAAAATACGGTCCCATCGCCTTCAAACCTGGCACACACTTAAACCACCATCTGAAGATTCAGGTCGAATCATGACGTCATCATGACGTCATCACGTGTCACATGACGTCATCCTAAAAGTGCATACTTTAAGGCCCTATATCTACAGAACCGGAGGTCCAATTGGGTTCAAACTTGGTATGCAAGTATTCCGGGACGTGTTATAGACAAAAATTGCAGTGACGTCACAATGACATCATCATGTGATTTTATATAAATTATGCAATTTTTGGACCTTTTACTCAAATCTCATCAATGGAACATGGTAAATTCAAAATTCTTCTTGTAACTTGCACAAAATTTCATAAAATGTGTGACGTCATCATGACGTCATCATGACGTCATCAAAACGTGATTTTTTGATAAGGGTATGTCCGATTGTTATTAAACTTGGTGGGTAGGTAGGTAGGTATAGATAAAAGCATTCAAAATCTGAAGTGATGTCATCATGACATCATCGTCTGATTTTTTATGAATTTTTCAAATTTAAATATTTTCTTCAAATTTTGCAAAAATTATATAAAATATGGTCCGATCGACTCAAACCTGGCACACACTTAAACCACCATCTGAAGATTCAGGTCGAATCATGACGGCATCATGACGTCATCACGTGTCACTTGACGTCATCCCAAAACTGCATAGTTTAAGTCACCATATCTAGAGAACCTGAGGTCCGATTGGGTTCAATCTCTGTATGCAGATATTCCAGGAAGTGTTATAGACAAAAATTGCAGTGACGTCACGATGACGTCATCATGTGATTTTATATGAATTATTCAATTTTTGGACCTTTTACTCATATCTCATCAATGGAACGTGGTTAATTCGAAATTCTTTTTGGCAAAAGGTTTGTTAGGTCGTAGATATAGATACAGAAAATTTCAAAAAATGTGTGCCATCATCATGACGTCATGAAAAATGTTTTTATTACAAAGGATGGACACTTTTTGTATAGAATACGCATTTACATGTTTATTTGACCTGGATGAAACTCATTAATAAAAAGGTCGAAACAGCTCAGTGTTTGTCCACAAACACATTTCTAGTGAGCTGTTCCCAATTTCAATTGGGAACAGCTATTGTTTTCGTTAAAGTTTTTTTTTTTCCTTTTTTTTTTTTTTTGGCTTTTCCGCAAAAAAGCGAAAAAGCCTTTGTTTTTGTTCTCATTTTTTTTTTTTTTTTGGCTTTTCCGCATAGTGCGGAAAAGCCTTTGTTTTTGTTCTCATTTTTAGCTGTTTCGGTGACACACCGAAACAGCTCTTGTTTTCGTTAAGATTTTTTTTTTTCTTTTTTCTTTTTTTTTTTTTTCTTCTCCTTTTTCAGACTTTTTCTCCATAGGTTTAACACACGTTTCTTCTGGCAGTCCACTTTGCCACTTTTTTAAATCCGATTGATTTCAGACTTGGTACATACTTAGACCACCACCCACAGATGGTCCTAGAAGAAATTTGTAATCGTGACGTCATCAGGTGTCAGGTTACGTTACATTAAAGATGTATTTTCCCCCATATGTTTTGTACACGTTTTAAAACACTCCAGTTTGGCATCTTCGTAAATCCGATCGACTTTAAACTTAATTCATACTTAGACCACCACCCACAGATGGTCCTAAAAGAAATTCGTGATCGTGACGTCATCAAGTGTCAGGTTACGTCACATTAAAGATGTATTTTTCCCCATAGGGTTTGTACATGTTTTAAAACGCTCCATTTCGGCACTTTCGTAAATCCGATCAACGGTACACTTGGTACACACTTAGACCATCACCCACGGATGGCCCTTGAAGAAATTGGTGATCGTGAGGTCATCAGGTGTCACGTTACTTCACGTTAAAGATGCACATTTTCCCAATAGGTTTTGTACACGTTTGAAAACGCTCCACTTAGGCACTTAATTTGATTGAGTATATACTTAATACACACTTGGACCACTACCCATAGATGGTCCTAGAAGAAATTCGTCATCGTGGCGTCATGAGGTGTCAGGTTACATCATATTAAAGATGCATTGTTTCCCTATTGGTTTTGTACACGTTTTTTTTCAAACTGAACTTCGGAAGTACAAGTCTGATTGGGTTAAAACTTGGCATGCATATTCAGATGGATGTGTTATAGATGGAAATTGAAGTGACATCATCATCAAATGTCATGTGAAGATCTTTTGATCGAAGCACAAGATCGATTTGGTTGAAAATGGCGAGTACATATAGACTGGGACGTATACATGAAAATTGAAGTTACGTCATGATGACATCATTTCATCACTCACAAGTCATGTGAAGTCACATTAAAGGGGCACTTTTCTAAGGTCAATATGAGGTCCGATTTGGTCTTTACTTGATATGTAGCTAATATGTTTAGTATAGATGGAAATTGGAATTGCGTTATGATGACGTCATCACATTCCACGTGACTTCATATTAAAGGTGCATTAAATGTGTATTAAAGATGTGTCTATTGGCTAAACCGTGTCACACGAGAAAATTGATTTTGATTAAAAAAAATGTGTTTTTTTACACGCCCTGTACATAATGCCCTTTGTTATTTGTATGTTTCATTTTGAACCACTATAATTGTGGACAGAGATAGTGTTTTGTTTATGTTGAGATTTGAAAAGATTTCAAATATATTCCAATATTCTTGGAAGTCTTGACATAAATCCTGCTACTAAAGTTGTTTGCTGCCTTCTAGTGTTGCAAGTGATTCACCAGTCACGAAAACCCGACCCAATAAAGTGTTCGTGAAATATTGGTCTGGTCAAGGGCGTTGCCAGGATTATCCGAGGGGCCACATTCACAGGCAGATGAATTCAGAGGCAGGCAGGCATAATCACGCGTCGTAGTAAAAAATTTCATGACTAGGCCACAGTCCGTGCTGGAGGGTAAATCCTGCTGCTAAAGTTGTTTGCTGCCCTCTAGTGTTGCAAGTGGTTCACCACTCACGAAAACCCGGCCCAATAAAGTGTTCGTGAAACATTGGTCTGGTCAAGGGCGTTGCCAGGGTTATCTAGAGGGGCTACATTCACAGGCAGATGAATTCAGAGGCAGGCAGGCATAATCACACGTCGTGGTAGAAATTTCACGAAAGGCCATAGTCAGTGCTATAGGTTAACCATGCAAGAATAACCCATTTGAAATTAATGTTGAATAAAATCTGGAATGCTGAATACTTAATCCATTGCAGTGCTTTGCACGTTTTAATCCTTTTGGTTTTTTTAGCTCCATGTTTAACTTCCCCATTCTCCTGACCAAAGAAACCGTTACTATATCACGTGATTCGGGGCAAGCCTTATATGCTAGCATGTGATCCCCAGCTCCGAAATGGTCTGGCGTCTTTGTGCCATTCTCACTCATTGTGAACAATGCATTGATGCCAAGCGTCTCTACGTTATATGCAAGAGCTAGCCCGAGTCATGTGATTAGCAACTGCATCTTTCATGTGGAGAATTTAAAATGTGCCAAGTATATATACATTTTGTATTGTGAGCAAGTCAGAGTACCAGATTTTACATTCCAAAGGGTATAGGTCACTCGCAAATGGCTTATTATTGGATATCAACTGAGGATTAAAAGGGTGCAGCTAACACTGAGTGGATGCCCTACACAACGGGCGAGGAAGAAAGATTGGATATGACAATTTAGGGGCGAAGATATGAAGAGAAAGCCAAAGCTAGATACCAATTAAGCATTTGGGCTGTCGTAATAGTAATGTACATGTATATGCATAGACACTGGAAGTGCAACTCACTTCAATTGATTAATATTTATTTCCCCTTCGCTTTCACAGAAAAAATACAAACGAAATGTATATACTAAATAGATATACATTAACAAATAAAACAATATTCCAATGTTGGATGTACACAAATTTCTGACAGTGAAGGAAGCAAAATGGATTGTAACATGACACTTTGATCTATATTTGTTTGTACAATGTACTTTAAGGTGTACAACATTACAACTGTTATCAATTAAATAACATTAACTTATACCTTTTTTTATGAAAAGTTTTGATTAAACTCAGTTGCATTTAGAAAACATGAATACAAGGTATAAGCTGCTTCTTTTCCCGAATGCTTCCCTCAAAGGAAATGTACTGCTTAGTTTACAAATTAACGTCCTTATTCAAAGAGACTTTCAATTTGTATTAACCTAGAAGCTTTCATCCAACAGTATCTGTATGATGATGAATGAACACAGCACAAATATGTCACTTTGCAGTGTAACCGACAGATTCCACGGATACTGTGAACATTAAGCCTCACAGTCTTAAACTCTACAAGTGTGAAATGATTTTCAACACATACATAATTTGGACTAAATGTAAGGGCGTACTCCAAACTGGATTACAAACTAATAGCCTTTAACATGTTTAACATCACGCTGATACAAGAGCTGGCAGACAGAAATTAGGCCTGTTAGACAAATGATAAAAGCCTTTATCATCACATGTTTATACAAGAGTTTGACGACAGGACAAAGGCTCACACATATAGTCTTGAGATCACAGAACTAACACTTGTTTGAGATATCAGAAACATTTGAGGCTTTGTCATTTCCCAGGTGACATACAGCAGTCTGGCTTGCATGACAGGTGATAAGTAGCCTTTGACATCACGGTGATGAACAAAGTGACTCACAGCAGTTGGACTTGGATAGGGGGTAATAACAGCCTTTGACATCATAGTGATGCACAAGGTAACTCATAGAACTCTGCCTTTAATGGCGGGTGATGCAAGAGATGGCTCACAATATTCATGATGGGATGAACGGTGATAAGCAGGCGTTAAATAAATACAGTGATGCAAGAGGTGGCTGACAGAACTCGGGCATGGTGGACAGATGATTAGTAGCCTCGGACATGGTGGTACAAGAGATGACTCACGTACAGTACTTGGGCTTGGATGACAGACTGTGATAAGTAGCCTGTGACATCACAGTGATGCAAGAGGTGGCTGACAGAACTCAGGCATGGTTGACAGGTGATTAGTAGCCTTAGACATAGTGGTACAAGAGATGACTCACGTACAGTACTTGGGCTTGGATGACAGACTGTGATTAGTAGCCTGTGACATCACAGTGATGCAAGAGGTGGCTGACAGAACTCGGGCTTGGTTGAGAGGTGATTAGCTGTCCTTCACATCATAGTAATGCTATAGGTGGGCTGAAAAACAAAATAAATTGAACTAAACATATTTAACTTGTTGAATGAAAACCTCCATAGATATTAATTTCCTACTCACATAATGCCTAAGACAGTCTATGCATTCATATTGGTGGAAAGGCAATTACCAGTCCACGGGTGATCTGAACTGGCAAATTAAGCATCAGTCGTTTTTGATAAAGAGTTGTCTTTAAACTGCAATCTGTGGCACATGCGGACAATCCAACCACATGAACCATGTGCAATACTATGTTTGAGAACAACTGAAGTAATCTTATATGAGGTAGAATGCTGAACACACCGAGGACATAATGCACACGCACACCCTATCATGTGGTCTGATATGAAGATGCAGTAAACACATCACTGATAGTGCTGTGTGCAAAATGCACAGAGGTGTGTGTTGCGCGTTGCGCGTATTGTTTCCACCACCTATCTTTTGGGGTTTGCAAGAATGATGTACATGTACCCGTGTCAAGAACAAGACCTTCCGGAAATCGGCCAGTGAGTGCTTGCCAGATGATACTTCTTTCATAAACTTTTATGTGGATAATACTGTGACAAATTTGCAGTTATAAATTTGGTGTTTGCTTTGAGTAAGCACCCGGTTGCTGTTAGAGGCTCTCCCTTCTGATCAGGTCATTATCAACAACCATGCTCTAACTAATTTCAACCATATTATTTAGAATTGCTTTATCACACTTTCACCAATTTGACACAGAAGATCAAATTGCTGAAAAAAACCCGGAGAATATCAGTTGCTGCAAGTTGCATCCGCTGTTTACTACATGGTCAATAAAAATATGTAGAAAGATTTAATTTACACAGCTACAGCTAATTATATCTTACCTTGAAAAATATAAACTGTGCAAATAGTTTGAATAGTCAGTTTCCAACAAAGGGGTAGTCTTCTCTTCAATGACGTCCACGTCACACATGCACAAATTCTACACACAGAACACACGAAACAAAAACTGAAATCAGTTTTGAGACTTCATATTGTCCATACAAAATTGTTGTCAGTAAAATAAAACAATGAAGTGAACAAACATACCAGTTGATTCTTCTGGAAGTAAGGACTCTGTTTACAAAGAGTGACAAAGACAGAGCTGCACAAGTTTATAACAAGGTCCTTCAGTCTATATGAATTATCTTGTTATACATGTAACAGGTACCTCGTATTAACAGTAATGGAAAACACAGGAACACACAGAACAACAAAGATTGGGACCTAAAGTTTTGCTTGTTATAAGCAGGATCTTGTACTATTAAAACAGAGCTCATCTTGTTGGAGTTTGACTGCACAGCGTACACTTACAATGTACACGTAATGATCTCAGCACATGAATGGAATTGTCATCATCCATAAACAGAAGGATTGGTAAAATGGCACACTGAGCTGTGAATGTGACAACGATGCTCCACAGTCACGAGATATTGTCAACAACCACCGATGAACAGAAGGACTGGTGAAATGCCACACTCAGCTGTGGATGTGACAACAATGCTCTACAGTAATAGTGAGTAATCCTCAACATCCATCGATGAACAGAAGGATTGGTGAAATGCCACACTCAGCTGTGAATGTGACCAGGATGATCCTCTGTCATAGTGAGTAATCGTCAACAACTAACAATGAACAGAAGGACTGGTAAAATGCCACAATCAGCTGTGAATGTGACGACAATGCTCCACAGTCATAGTGAGTAATCCTCATCACCTCCGATGAACAGATGGACTCCGTCAGATGCCACACTCAGCTGTGAATGTGACAACGATGCTCCACAGTCATAGTGAGTAATCCTCATCATCCACTGATGAGCAAGCAGATGGACTCCATCAGATGCCACACTCAGCTGTGAATGTGACAACGATGCTCCACAGTCATACTGAGTAATCCTCATCACCTCCGATGAACAGATGGACTCCGTCAGATGCCACACTCAGCTGTGAATGTGACAACGATGCTCCACAGTCATAGTGAGTAATCCTCATCATCCACTGATGAGCAGACAGACTTCATCAGATGCCACACTCAGCTGTGAATGTGTCAACAATGCTCCACAGTCATAGTGAGTAATCCTCATCACCACCGATGAACAGATGGACTCCGTCAGATGCCACACTCAGCTGTGAATGTGACAACGATGCTCCACAGTCATAGTGAGTAATCCTCATCATCCACTGATGAGCAGAGAGACTTCATCAGATGCCACACTCAGCTGTGAATGTGACAACGATGCTCCACAGTCATAGTGAGTAATCCTCATCATCCACTGATGAGCAGATGGACTCCGTCAGATGCCACACGCAGCTGTGAATGTGACAACGATGCTCCACAGTCATGGTGAGTAATCCTCATCACCTCCGATGAACAGATGGACTCCGTCAGATGCCACACTCAGCTGTGAATGTGACAACGATGCTCCACAGTCATAGTGAGTAATCCTCATCACCTCCGATGAACAGATGGACTCCGTCAGATGCCACACTCAGCTGTGAATGTGACAACGATGCTCCACAGTCATAGTGAGTAATCCTCATCATCCACTGATGAGCAGATGGACTCCATCAGATGCCACACTCAGCTGTGAATGTGACAACGATGCTCCACAGTCATAGTGAGTAATCCTCATCATCCACTCATGAGCAGACAGACTCCGTGAGATGCCACACTCAGCTGTGATAACGATGAATAACAAAGTCATAGTCAGTAATCCTCATCATCCACTGATAAACAAAATGATTGGTGAAATGCCACACTCAGCTGTGAATTTGACAACGATGCTCTACAGTTATAGCGAGTAATCATCATCATGCACCGATGAACAACATGATTGGTGAAATGCCACACTCAGCTGTGAATGTGACAACGATGCTCCACAATTATTGCGAGTGATTGTCATCATCCATTGATCAACAGAACGACTGGTTTACACTACATTTTATTTACCTGGTTTACACGACAATTGATTTGTCTGCTTTGCACGACTATCTGACTGGTTTACACAACTATTGATCTAACTGGTTTACACGACTATTGATCTAACTGGTTTACACGACTATTGATCTAACTGGTTTACACAATTATTGATCTAACTGGTTTACAATGTACACGACTATTGATCTAACTGGTTTACACGACTATTGATCTAACTGGTTTACACGACTATTGATCTGTCTGGTTTACACGACTATTGATCCGTCTGGTTCACACGACTATTGATCCGTCTGGTCTACACAACTCTTGATCTCTCTCCTTTACACAACAATTGATCTGTCTGCTTTACATGACTATTGATCTGTCTTGATTACACGACTATTGATCTCTCTGGTCTACACGACTATTGATCCGTCTGGTTTACACGACTTTTGATCCGTATGGTTTACACAACTCTTGATCCCTCTCCTTTACACATCAATTGACCCGTCTGCTTTACATGACTATTGATCTGTCTTGATTACACGACTATTGATCTCTCTGGTTTACACGACTAATGATCCGTCTGGTTTACACGACTATTGATCCGTCTGGTTTACACGACTATTTATCCGTCTGGTCTACACAACTCTTGATCCCTCTCCTTTACACAACAATTGACCCATCTGGTTTACATGACTATTGATCTGTCTCGTTTACACGACTATTGATCCATGTGCTTTACACGACTATTGATCCATCTGCTTTACACGACTATTGATCCATCTGTTTTACATGACTATTGACCCGTCTGCTTTACACGACTATTGATCCATCTGCTTTACACGACTATTGACCCGTCTGTTTTACACGACTATTGATCCATCTGCTTTACACGACTATTGATTCGTCTGGTTTACACGACTATTGATCCGTCTGCTTTACACGACTATTGATCCGTCTGCTTTACATGACTATTGATTCGTCTGCTTTACACGACTATTGATCTGTCTGCTTACACGACTATTGATCTGTGTGGATTACACAACAATTGATCCGTCTGCTTTACACGACTATTGATCCGTCTGCTTTACACAACTATTGACCCGTCTGCCTTACAATGACTATTGATCTGTCTGGATTACACAACTATTGATCTGTCTGGTTTACAGGACTATTGGCATGATCCATCTGGTTTACAGGACTATTCATCTGTCTAGTTTATACGACTATTGACATGATCCATCTGGTTTACAGGACTATTGACCTGTCTGGTTTACACAACTATTTGCAAATTGTTTTTCCTCTTACAATTTCATTTTAATTCACAGCTGAAAATATTTATTTTCTTGTCTGTTTGCAAATTCACAATGTGCAATATTACTGAAAACACTCAAAATATAAACAAACCATGTTTGAAACTTGAGCAATACAAACTAATTCATTTATGAAGTCACAACCGAATAATGACTGCTTCGTGGTAGCTGTAGTAAGTTGGACTAATTTGAACATCAATACAATCTATGTTTCTCACATAAACATGGTCAAGTAAAGTGCCTTTTTCAGTTGTTGCATCACTTACACACTGATTATATCCATGATCTTGCATCAATTTCTTTACACAAGATTCTTTGTTCATGATATCTTCATTAAAATCGCCCATCACAATGCACTCGTTTGAAATCTTGTGTATCTCATTCAACAACATATCCAGCACCTCTACAAATTCCTTTAATGTATATGACGGTGGTCGGTAAAGTATAACAACAAGTATTGGTAATGACTCGTTTGGAATTACATGCAACTCAAATGCGATGTATTCAAGATTATTGATTGCCAAATGTATCCTACTGAACAGTCTGTCCTTTTTGCCACACACAGCTACACCGCCATGACACTGTTCTTTCAACATACATGCCACATGACTGGAGTTATCATAAGATATACTTCTTGGCTGATGATACCATTTACAATTACTCATATCCATATCACAATCAAAGTTTCTGTCAGTCCATGTTTCTGTCAGGCAAATGAAATCACACGACAACATTTCATTGTTAGTTTTTAAATCCATTACGTGTGCCTGAAGTCCTTGAATATTATGCATAGCAATGCTTGTGCTAAAACATACATCACCCTTGATTTCATTTTCATCACCTACATTAGTGCTTCCCTTTTCATCAGACTCCTCAATGTACGATGCCATTTTAGTCATTGCTTCAGCTACTGCCTCATTACAATAAATGTATTTCTCATCAAACCCTTCTATCACAAGACCATTCAGTGAAACAACTCTACTCAAACTAACATAAGCTTGTCCTGCTGAAAACGTATGGTTCAAACTTACAACTGCCTTTTCCAAACTCATACCTTGAACCTTATGAGCTGTACATGCCCAAGCTAACTTCAGTGGAAACTGATGTCGGACACACTGTTTATTCAAGTTTTCTTCTACCATTTCAATACCGACAACATCTCTATCATTACTACAGGAAGTTTGTTTCAATTTTGATCCAATATTTTCATTGTCAAATTCTACTTTAATCAACTTAGGTGACTGCTCACGATCATTAGCTAATATAACAATTTCATTTACAATTCCAAATACTCCATTAACAAGTCCATCAGATACATCAAGGTTCCTTGTAAGCATGACTCTAGCACCAACACCAAGCCACAAAGAATCAGGTAAATTAGTCATTGACGATTTCTTGAGTGATTTCACTACTGATATCATTTTCCCACTTTTTGCATCTTTCTGGAAATCTTTAGCAAGAACACATACACAATCTGAACATTTAGCAAAGAGGGTCTGTGTATTGTACTCATCCACTTGTTTATTGCAAGGATAAATATGCACAGCATCAGTCCAATCTTCTCCAGTCTCACGTGATTGTAACAGTCTCTTATCACCAGCTCCTAAGTTTTCCTTTCTCTTTCTGATTCGTAACCTATTCAATACTTCAGCAAACTGTGCATCATCCTTCTGTCTCATTATCTCATTCAGTTCTACTTTGACAAAATTAC